GGAAAGATCTTCAATACACTCAAGAGGTCATCTAGTCCGCCCACGCCCCCAATGCCTTCCCCCTCCCCACCACTCTTCATTGCAGAATCTGCCGCTTTTCTTGACCACTGTCCTCTCTTCTGTTCCAATACCTTTGGAAAGTCTACCCCTGCCTCCCAATGCAGGCTTTTCCCCTGTCTGTTTCTGCCCAGGCCAAACTCTTCTGCAATGTTAACGCCCAGGATCCCACGGGTGCAACAGAAATGGGCTCTTCTGCCTCCCCTTCTTTAGGTGAGCCCTCCCGGCTTTATCAGCTCTTCCAGGTTGCAGGGGGCAGGTGCATTTACTTCCAAAAGGCATTCAGATTTCTCAAAAATACCGCCCCTCCCATCAAGGGAGCCCAAAGACGCCCATTCTCACCCTTCTTACTTTTGACAGTGCAGAGCCGTCAGCATCATGTGGCTGGAATCCAAAGAATGGATGAAATTGGGTGGGAAGGCGTTTTTCTGTTTCCTTGTGTTTGGCTTCCTGCAGGGGAACAAGGCAGAGCAGAAAAGAGTTTGAATTCCAGGACCATCTTACCCACCCTAACCGAGACCCCCCTCTAGCAGCTACCAGCATTTCAATCCAATAATCCATTACTTTAGCCAAAGGTACAAAATGTGGCGTCCATGTGCCCTCATCGACCTGCAAGGTGCCTCTCAAACTTTCTGCCTCTCCTGCCTTAACTGAACAGGAATCTCCAACCATTTCTATTTATCCAAAATGGGTCCTGACCTGACACTGGCCCCGTGAGCAATCTTAGAACACCCCAGCAGGGGAGGGTTGAAGCTCAGGGCTTCGTTTGGAGGAGAAGCTTCAAATCCACTAGCCACGAGCAGCACATTTCAAGGTCAAAACATTTCCAGGTCAAAAGCGTTCTGTTTCCAAAACAGCACTGGGACACTTACGGGTTGGTCAGAACACCTCTGGCAACGTTGCACCAACCCATTTCAAACTGTAAAGGTTTGCATGCTCCTAATGCTCGCCTACCCAGTTAAGCTAGATCTGAGAGCAGCAGGAAGCATTTCTGAGTGTCAGCTATCTTGGGCACACCCACCCCGTTCTCAGAAATTCCAAATATGCCCATCAGCCTTTAGGCTGTCTCCTCCAGTGGATTAAACGAGGCATCGCTGTGTATATATTGCTGATGTTTGTAAAATATTTTGTTTTTACAAATTTTACAAGGGAGCAAGCATACTTCTTACAAGCTCAGGAAAGAAGGCCTCTTCTCGACAGGCCCCGATTCCTCCTGGTTCAGCATCATTTTTTCCAAGAGGCATTGTTTTCCTTTGAGGCAAGAAGAGATTGCCACAATGCAATCACGTGCCGGTGTGCAGGACAAAGCAGTTGTCAAAATCATAGTCAAAGAACTGGTGTTCTAAAGCTAGGATTTGCTGGGAACATGAATGCGCCAGTGTGCGGGGCCAGAAACTTCTGGCATCCTTGGAAAAAGTAAAGAGAGCTGTTCTTCGGCCAGAGCATTTCTGAGAAGCCCATAAACAGCGACAAGCCACTTCAGAAGGCATTTCAACTATTTTAGAAGAGGCATGCCTTTCTGCACAAGAATACAAGGAACAAGAGAATGCAGGTTGTGATACACACACGCCTTGCACCAGAAGAATTAGTATCACTAGAGACAACTGATGCACCTCCTCAAACCGGTGCCCCATTTTGGCATCAAGGAGGGCACATATAAGCAAGTGCTGGAGTAATGCATACATGCAGCCTCTGAACGCCTATTCCCTATTTCAAAATCAGCGCCTGAATAATTTGGAAACACCACCAATCCGACCAATCATTAAGCTTATCTGATCAATAGCATTTTCCTTTTAAGTCACGTGAGAGCCCCAATCATCAGAGAGGTTGATGATTTCGACTCTCGTCTGACTGAAAAAGTCATCTCCAGCTCTCTTCCGACCATGCCGGCCGGAATTAAGGAGAGGCGGAGTCTAACCGTGCTTGGGTGATTTTCTCTAAAACCCACTCTGGATTTTAGAGAAAAGTGTTTTCTTCAGAGAGATACTCACTGGTCCACACAGGAGTCTGATTTTAGGTAAAGGCTCTGCATGTCTCCCTTTATCTGGTTGTGAAGAGAGAAAGAGCAATTTTGGTTATCAGAGGATGCTCCCATTTTTTAGAAGCCACCACAGAGAAGAAAACAGACACCCAGAGCAAAGGTATGTGTTCCCCTGACCCAAGTGCAATTCCTGGCAACTACTGCAACACATCCATACAGTTTTTGTGGCTCAAATATAGGACTGGTTTCTCCTTGCCTTTTTCCAGGACGTATTTTCAACTTCCCAGTCTAGCCTACTGCCCTCTGCTTTCCTGTGGTGGCCCATTCCAGTTCCAAACGAGCCTGACCCTGCTCAGCTTGTTTTGAGATCAGCTGGGTTGGCTGGGGCCTGCCACATGCTGCTGGAGGGGCTAGATGTGAAAACAATCCAGGGGAACATTGGTGCTATGTGCATTTCAAGGACCGCTTGTGCCCAAGATTAACAGCTATGCTTGAATTTTGCATTAAAAAAAAAAAGAAAGTAAGCAATTCTCTGGAAGCTGGATTCTGTGTCCAATCCCACATTCTCTAGTCCCAGGTTCCAGTGTAGCCACGTGCTTAACCAGTAATCCAGATAAGCTGTACCCTGGAGCGCTCAAGGACTGGAATGGTTTGTCACACCCAGAGAAAAGGGACCTAAGTTGGAATTTTCATTCGGGTTCATTGGAAGAACGTGGGCTGATAATTCTGTCCAAGCCTCGTTGATCTCCATTAGGTGTGGCTATCAGGACCCAGAGTTAAAACACAAACTTTCATTCCTCGGCCAAGGGACAAGGAAGAGTGTCTCAACAGACAGGAACACAGCCTTGTCCTTTCTAGAGAGCCAGAACAGCTGCAAGGTGTTGACCTCCCCTCCCTGGACTGGCCAGGAAAAAGACTCTCCCAAATTGCTGGTTGTTAGCAGCATGCAAACATGTTTCAAGATCAGTCTTGAGTGCAAAATACTTTGCTTCAGGTTTGAAACAACTGACCAGAGTTTGATCATTTCCAGAGTGTTTCAAACACTCTGTTTTGAGCCCCAAACACTTCCAAAATGATCGGACATAGCCCATCTTCTCAAAACAACCGTTTCAAGCTTGGTGCAGCTTGATGCAAAATGGGGCAGTGGGATGTCCGAAGGGGTCATGTTTTGAAAGGTTTTGCACCCTAAAACCTTTCTCCTGTATCTACTGTCTGATGACGTCTTGAGAGCAGGCCAACATGGTTCTCTCTTGCTCGCTTGATTAAGTGTGTCACCTGAAGATTACTGGACAAACTCATGGGACGGAAATTATCCTTACAATCACCAAAAGTGTTTTTCTCTGTATTCAGAAAAGAAAAATGTTCTCAGTGGGGTTTAAGAAAAGGTAAGTAAGAAGTAAATTCCCCTGCAGTCTTAAGGATGTGACATAAAGGGGAATGAGAGGGAAAAAAAGCAATTTCAATTGCCAGTTCCTCAACGTGTTGTGTAGTTGCTGTTCCTCTGACCAGTAAGTGTGGCTGGCTGCCCCCTGCTCCTCGGCCAGAGGCCAGAGCATAAAGCCCTTCAATTCTTCAGGGCGATGGATATAAATAATCAAACTGCATCCCTTTGGGAATAATCCTAAAGTTGGAAGGAACCATAGAGGTCATCTACTCCAACCCCCCTCAGGCAGGATTTGTTACACCATCTCTCCAGCCTCTATCTGAATACCTCCAATCGAGCAGAAACTCACCATTTCACACAGCGGCCTGCTCCACCATCTCACAGGTCAGGCTGCCAGGAAATTCTTGTTGAGCTCTACCCTGAACCACCTAATTTGAACCCACTGCCTCTGGTCCTGCCCTAAACGCTTTATGCTCCAGAGCAGTGTTTCTCAAGCTTGGCCATTTTAAGATGTGTGGACTTCAACTCCCAGAATTCCCCAGCCAGCATGGCTGGCTGGGGAATTCTGGGAGTTGAAGTCCAC